ATAATATATACTATAACATATATTCCAATTGGAAACCCCTGTAATTGTAGATGTTTGTTGAGCCTGCCAAGTTTCAATGATTTGAATTATTACTTTAAGCAGCTTTATTTGAATTCCAGTTGGAACTGTCGCCAATTCCAATTGGGTGCGATGTAAAGGATTTGAATATAGTAGAGTTTGTGTACATATCATAATTTATCTTAATTAAGCTTTAAAGCAGCTATAGGAATTAGTTCTAATTAGAATCATGAATGTGCTCCAATTGGACTCGCTCTGTTTTAGCATCATCTTCGATGATTGAATTTTTATATAAGTTTATATTAAAAACTATACTTAATTTCTCTGCTTAGGGCTGGAACTTCTCTCTTACAGATGTGAGCGTGCTTAAAGTTTCTTTCTGCTTTAGGGTGGCCATATTTGCAGAAGTTTTTGTGGGTTTTAGTGATTTGCAAAGGAAGTTGCTCATATCAAGTGTTGGCAAGAAACTCTTGAGGGTATCAGCTGCTTAACGCAAGGGAATACACACACATAGACAACATACACACATAGACAACACACACACATACCGAAACTCTAACTGCGTGCAAGCCATAAAAACCAGAAGCTCAATTATCAAAATGCGACGTGTGCTTTGTTGTTTCTTCATCTCTCTCGCTCTCACTCTCTCTCTGTGTGCGTGTGTGTGTGTGTGTGTATGTGTGTATACATGTTTGTTGTCTATTCTACAGCCATCCGCCTCATATGCCATTCCATTCTTATTGTCGCCGTTGGCAGCGCCTGTTCCGAGGGCTTTGTCCCTTTTGCTGTGTATCTGTGGCCGCAAATGGATAAATTTATATATTTTATAAACTGCTGCTCTTAAAGCTGCCAGAGGGAGAAAGCGAGAGCGAGTGAGTGGGAGTATGTGTGCGACGTTAGGTCAGTTGAAAGGTCAGCATACCTTTAAATGCCTTTACCTATGCATACAATCTGCATAAATTGAAAGCCATTGAAAACTTTTCTCTACCCCTCTCGCTCTCCCTCTCTCTCTTCTGTCATAAGTCGACAAAACTTTAAATGGGATCAACAGCAATGTATTTATGGTCGCGCTCGTCTATCCTTTGCATGACAGCTGCGACGACGAGCAGGAGCCAGAGGGCGTGGTGGGAGTGGGCGTGTCAGAGCGCGGCATTTGATTCACTTAGATGATCAAATAATCGATTGGGGCCAGTTCAGTTGGCGCCACAAACACACAAATAAAGGCGTCTGTCGCTCGCATGGCAAAGTAGTTTCTCAATGCTCTCTCGCCAAAATGCCAATACATTATAAATTATAGTTGGATTTCAGTTGCCGCGTATACGCAATCTGGCATACAATGGCCGCTGGGGCGGGGTGGGCGCGCTGCGAGAGGGGGGCGGGTTCCATAATGGCGGCGACAATAGAGAACAGGAAGCAAATAAACGCTGTAAAAATTCTTGAGCAGCTTACGTGTTACATTATGTATATCTATAAGTGTGTACGTGAGCTGGTCTATGCGTGTGTCTGTATGTGTGTGTCTGTCCGTGTGTGTGAGTGAGGGCGCAGTCGTGCGTATGTCTTTATATCAAAAAGTTTTTGCCACTTTCTTAGCGCTGCTCAACTTTTGTTATGCTCGCTTAGACCCAAGTCTATCCCCGTCGCAGCAGAATTTTTCCTAACATTTTTCCTCGATGCTTTCCTCTGGCTTTCACTTTCACAGCTAAACTTTTGGCGCCGTGTGTGTGTGTATGTGTGTGTGCCGATGCGTGTGTGCGTGTGTGTGTAATCTGAAATATTTTGCACTTTTTGTGGAGTTTGTTTGCCTACTTTAAATATAAACCGATCGGCTTTCTATTTATTTATACCAGCATTGTCTGGATTGCTGCAAATATGGATGCCAGGACATAGTTGTGCGTGTGTGCGGCTGTCAGTTCCACACACACACGCTCACACACGCACAAAGGCAGGCCTGATCATCCTTTGGCAAAGTTGCCTCTTGCCTTTTTTTTATGTGCTTTGTGTGCTACAAATTGTTTGGCTTTCGAAATTCCTTGCGTTATTGTTGAGGTTTTTATGGACTCGAGTGGGCGTGGCTGGGCGTGGGTCGCCGCTGCTGCACAAGTAAACTAAAGCTCAACTCATAGATGCGCGCCGTGCGATAGACTCGAAAAACTAATTTGTAGCTGAGGCACGAAAGAATATTGTTATTGATAGATGACAATGGTCGACAGCCGTCCACGATTTATGTTTGCCCACCTCATACCCTCTCTCTCTCTCTCTCTCTCTCTCTCTCTCTTTCTCCCTCACACTCACACTCACTCGATAGCGTGGCTCTGCGCTGTGCGAAGCAATGAGATTATTGCAGGCAACTCCCAGACACTCGCCCGGCAATTGGAAATTAAATTGCTTTTCCATATGACACTTAGGATCAAATTGACATCGTTAAATGTATTTGTGCTGGCTGCGATAGCAATTTCTATCGGCAAAATGGAATCCATTCATCTTTGCCGCTCTCTGTCCAAAAAGGCGGCACAACAAAGGAAGACGACAGCCAATAGAAATTTATGTCTTTCAAAGCGAAATTGTTACTCACTCAAATGATGTAAAAATAATAGTAAAAAATGACCTATCTCTGGAGGCAAGCGAGATAGCAGCCAAATTGATTTAAAATTCCTCTCAATGAATGCAATTTGATTCTCAAAAAATACATAAACATATCTATATGTGTGAATGTGTCGTAACATAACACTATTGAGTAATGTAATGTTATCATAGTTTGAAAAATAACAGCTAACCGTTTGATTGCTTAAGCTCTGTTCGCGACATTAACCGAAAGAATCACACTCAATCGCTCTTCGTTTTATTTTTTTATTAAGCGCCTTGAGTAATGTAAAGTTGAGTAGAATTATGCGTATGACGAGCTCTTTCTATGTAAAAACTCTTCACACTCATGCACATACTCATGTTAAGCGGGCACACCGCTCACACACATGCCAATGCTTCATTTAACTCAACGAAACGGTCAGCGAACAACACGAGTAAAACGAAACAGCAACAAAACCGATTGCAAGCCGATCGCGGACGAACTCGACTCGCTGCTCTCTGAGTCTTTTCTCGGAGTTTGAGTGAAAGGCACTTACATATGTATGCGTGTGTATGTATGTGTATGCAGGCATCGCGAAACGGTCAACACTAATTTGCAAGCTATGATTGGCACGCGTCTTGCTCAGCTATGCACTCTAGCTCTCTCACTCTATACACAGTAGACAAATCTTTACTGCTCTGCAAATTAATTGGGGCAAAAGACAAAAGTGGAAAGAGGGTAGAAGACATACAAATGTCACAGAAGATTGCTCGTCAGTTTGGTCGTTATAAATCAAAATAATTAATAAGGATGCAACAGATTTGACTAATTACATACATATGACTAATTTCCCTCCCTCTCCTCTCTGTCTCTCTCTCTCTCTCTCTCTCTCTCTGTCTCCCATCTCTTTACAGGTGAATGGTGCATGGGCTTTGCCTAATGTTGTTTGTGATTTCTATATAGCCATGGATGTGATATGCTCAACTTCATCGATATTTAATTTAGTCGCCATCTCAATAGACAGGTAAGATGCATGCCACTGCCGCACAAACACTAGCTGCAGTACACACACACACACACACACATACAGAGTCCTTGACGCTGGCATTCCGCTCTAACATTCCGCAGATACATCGCTGTGACGCAGCCAATAAAATATGCAAAGCACAAAAATAGTCGCCGCGTTTGCCTTACGATACTATTGGTGTGGGCGATATCGGCTGCCATCGGGTCGCCGATAGTGCTGGGCCTGAACAACACGCCCAACCGGGAGCCGGATGTGTGCGCCTTCTACAACGCTGACTTCATACTCTACTCGTCGTTGAGCAGCTTCTACATACCGTGCATCATCATGGTCTTCCTCTACTGGAACATATTCAAGGTGAGTTGCTGCGAGCTAATCAAAAACGGATTTGGATTTGGATTTGGATTTGAATAGAGATTGGCTATTAATGCAGTCTGCTGATTAATGCACAATTTCCCATTGAATAACTAAGTCGGATTTGTTGTTTACACACACTCATTAGCTGCGGCCTCATCGAGCCGGCTGAAAGGGTTCGAGCTGTAGCTGTGGCTCGTCGTGTATTATGCAAGCGCAGCACGTGAAACGTTTTACTAATCAATTACCATATATTTCTCGTGCCATTCCCCTGCCCATTTCCCATTCCCCAGGCGCTGCGCAGCCGTGCTCGAAAGCAAAGGGCTGCCCGCAAGCCGCATCTCTCGGAGCTGACGGGCGGCAGCGTCATCGAGAATATTGCCCAGACCCGGCGACTGGCCGAGACGGCGTTGGACAGCAGCCGGCATGCCAGCCGCATTTTGCCCGATGAGCCGGCCACGAACACGGCCAGCGGCTCCAACGAGGAGGAGGACGAGAATGCCATTTCGCCCGATATCGATGACTGCCACGTCATCGTCAACGATAAGTCCACTGAATTTATGCTGGCCACAGTCGTCGAGGAGACCGGCAAGTAAGTAACCAAGTGACGGCCCCACTCGGGTGGGGGGCGGTGCCACTCCCACATTTGGCGCGGCCCATTGAAAATGTGCTTCGAGCACTTTTCATGTCACTGCCCCGGCCATAAAATTGAAAGTGCGAAAGGTAACTGGGCAGAAATGTGTGTGGGCGGGTGGGCGTGTCTGGGGAGAAACAACTGCAGCCAGAGCCAACGCCACAGCCCCATCGACAGAAGTGCCAACGACAGCGGGAAATGGAGTTTGTGAAACCGTGAAAAGGGCGTTCGGCTTTCATGTTGATGGCCATTCCAGAGCTAACGGGCCGATGCAGGGGACGGAACGTCGCTACACGATGCACCCTACACCGTTTTACCTGTCCTATGCGGATTTAATCAAAGTTCGATAAAGAGCGTAAGCTTGGGCTTGAAAAGTGGGAAATCTGTATAACTATTACAAAGTTAAGTCTATATGTATGTATATACATAGAGAGAGAGAGAGAGAGAGAGAGAGACCGCGAAATAGAGAGAGAGAGAGAGAGCAGTAGAGAAATGGTGAAATATAGAAAGAGACAACCAAATACAGCGGGAAAGAGAAAGAGAATAAAGGTAAAAAACAAGGTTCAGAAGGAGAGATGGAGAGAGAGAGAGAGAGACAGAGAGAAATGTAGAAAAGGGAGAGAGAGAGACAGAGAGAAATGTAGAAAAGGGCGAAAGAAAGAGAGGTAAAGCGAGATAGGGAGTAAGATAAAGAAAGGAGAAAGAATGAGAGAGAGAGAGGAAGAGCGAAACTAGATCAATACAGAGAAATAGTGAGCAAAGGAGAGAACGTGTGTGTGAGAGAAAGATTTTCAATGAGAGATAGAATGATAGCTAGGCAGAGATACAGAAAGTGATGGAGAGAATGAGTTAAAGAAATCATGAAATAATGAGACAGATTAAGGAAAAGAGAAGGAACTTGAACAAGACATATGAAGAGAGAGAAAGAGAGAGATTGAGAGAGAGAGAGAGAGAGCGAAAAATACAGAAAAGAGAATGAAGTAAAAAAATGAGAGAATGAACAAGACATACGAAGAGAGGGAGAGAGAGAGAGAGAGAGAGAGAGATAGCGGAGGAGAGATGAGTGAGATGAGATGATATCAGATTTGTTGATAAGAGCCTAATGAGTGGCATTGAGGTGGGTATTCACACCCAAAGTGTTCTGAAAATATTGTCCCACAGTACTTAAACTTTTATCTCCTTCGAATAATTCTGGATATCCCCAGCCTGAACTCAGATTCAATTTCAGCTGTTTCGGGTAATTCCTAACTGCTGCTCACTCAACAAATCCTATCGGCCTATGTGGTAAATCAGTTGAGCACTTCGCTTGCGGCGGACCAAGTTTCCATTAGGGCGCTCTCACGCTCCCACGCCCCCACTCTCGCTCCCCTTCGAGCTAATTCACCGACTTTGCTGGCACTTCGGCACATTCGAGAATTTCGCTTTAGTTGCGCTAATTTAATGGAAGCTGCGTGGTTGCCAACTTGCCACCTGGTCAATGTGAATTTTTTTTTTTTTTTTGGTTTGTGGCACGTAGTAAATAAGTAGGAGGTGAGTGGCTCAGCCATCGGACAGCTGCTGACACAACAAATTGAAGCTGCTCCGCGTGGCGCACTCCCAAATGCATCCAGCTACCACTTAGTGGCGCCCGAACAAAATTGTCAAAGTAATCGTAATTGCAACTTCTTCCGCCCTCTCTCTCTCGCTCTCTCCCTCTCTCTCTCTCGCTACGCCTGTTGACTGGGAGAACTCAATTCAGCCAGCGCGCGCTTGTTCATTTAAATTCACACGCGCTGCAATAAAATGAAAGCCCTGAATGAGCACTCAGACAATCCAATCGACTTGCTGCTAGCCGTGCGGCTCTTTGTAACTGCACTTGTAGCAAGTTGTTGGAAGGGGGTGTGGCGATGGGTGTGGGGGGGGGGGGTATACTGTGGAGGATTTGCCATTGTCGCGCTCAGAGGATGCGGCCTTTTATTGGCTTTGCTTTGGCACGGCTGTCTGCAGCCATTGCCATTCGCTGCAATTTCATCAGAGCTCCCAATTGGCTGCACTCGGTAAAAATTTGCTTGCCACATTGCGGGGCGAGTTACATGCCGCATGCCACATGCCATAGGAGCAGCGCTGTGGCAATCCTAATTAGTTGTAGAAAGAAGCAGTGGCAAGCGAAGCAATACTCCTGCCCCACCCCATCCCCCCCTCAGGCAAGCAAGCGAAGGCAAAGTCTCAATCACAATTTATATTTGGCCAAGAAGCTATTGAGTCAAGACAAATGTCTGACGCAGCGATCAATTTTTTATTTCACAATAATCAAGAACGGGAAAATGAACTAAAATGAACTTTTTGGTTAACTCGGGAAATCACTTCGGGCATGGGCGTCCCCAGCACTTAACAAATTGACGAAGTCCGGGTCGCCGGGACTTGGCTGAACTACGAGCATGCTCACCTGACCCGCCCTGGCTAGAGGTCGGCTCAGGCTCGCATTTCTACGGCAGGGCGCGGCAGGGAACGAGATAGCTAATTGGTTATCTACTACTAGTATATACGGTGTTCGATGCTCACCTCAATGGGCTGCACTGGCTGAGCGTCTTCGGTCTGTGGAGTCTGAGGAGTCTGGGTAGCGTCACTCGATAGATCGTGCATCGATAGATCCAATGGGGTCATCTGGCAGCTGCTGGAGCTGCTCGAGCTGCTGGAGCTGCTGCTGCTGCTATCGGCAGGGCATCCCCTGGGAATATAATTCGAGTTAAACTTCTCCATGCTTGCAGTAATGTTGCGAATCTCGGCTCTAGACTGGTTCAGAGCTGCCCTATAGCCCATCACCAATTTACGTGAGGCCTGCTCGTTCAAGTCCGTGTTCATCTGTGGAAGGATAGTTAGGAAATTTGGCATCGATAAGGACGACTGCCCTACCAGGAGATTCTTAATTGTCACAGTTGCTTCCTTCACCACTTCGTTTTGGGCAATCAGCTCCGGCTGAAGTTCGTTAAGTTTCACCAGGAGACCCTGTTTCTCGGTCAAGCAGTTCACCAGCTCCTGCTCGCGTGTTGTGACCAGTTGCTGCAATGTCGCCATCAGTGAAGGACCAGATAGACAGACAGATCTCTGCACACTCACCTTCGCCTTGTTGGCGATCTTGCGCTGCTCACGGAGACTGGTCTTCAGCTCGGAGTTTTCAGTAATCAAATCCTGCATCTTCTCAGCACTTATGAGCTGCTTTATGTCGCGCTCGGACAACTGCTTCTTCAATGTAGCGACCTCCTTATTCTTGAGTTCGAGCTCATGCTTGGCCTTGAGGGCCTCGTCCATCTGGCGATGCAACTGTTGAAAAGGCGTTAGTGTCACTGTTTGCGAGAGAGAGAGAGAGAGAGAGACAGAGAGAGAGAGAGAGAGAGTGCTCACCTCCTTTTCGCGATCTGCCAAGTGCTGTTTCAATAGATCGATCTCAAGTTTGGTCTTGTGTAACTCGTCCATTTGGCGTTGCACCTGTTGCGAATGGGTTGCAGTCTCTGTGAGAAAGAGAGAGAGATAGGGGTACTCACCTCACGGTCGCGCTCGGCCAACTCCTGCTTTATTTGCTCAATTTCCTTCTTGGACTGCTGCAATTCGTCCATTTGGCGATACATCTGTGGCAGAGGAGTTAATGAGACAGAGAGAGAGAGAGAGATAGCGGCAAAGGGGTACTCACCTCTCGGTCACGCTCAGTCAGTTGCTGCGTCAATTGCTCGATTTCCAGTTGGGAATCGTGCAAGTCATCCATTTTGCGCTTCACCAGCTCCGAAGGAGACGGTGTCTCTTTGATATTGTGGCTTTCGCGAGTGAAAAGGGTCTCCAATGGTGCCTCCTTCTGGGGAACAATTCACTGTTAACTAATTGAGCTTGGGCATAGAGACTGGCGGCACTTACCTTCAGTTGGGCAATGCAGCTCTCGAGCTGGGCGATTTTGGCTTGACTGCCGCGAACGAACTCCTTTTCGCGATCTTCGTGCTCGGTCATAGCGTCAGCAGCTTCCTGGAGCAGCTGTGTCTTTTCGAGGACCTCCATGCGCAATGCATGGATCACGGTCTTGGCATCCTCGAGCTCCTTGTTCTTGGCGTGGTCGCCGCCATTGTCCTTGAAGTAGAGACGCAATTTCAGATTAAAGTTCTCGTTACGGAGCCTCACGAGCTCCTCGTCCAAGTCACGGGCGGTGCGCCCTAGTAGAGAGTGCGATTTCGGCTTTGAGTCTATAGCAAAAGATTTATGAGAATGGGAATGATAGGCGAACGGGCTCGGACCATTCTGTGGAGGTCCCCTTGAGGCCATTGTTGAATTTTTCGTGCACCACCAATTCCAATTCCGATTGCAATAATAATGATATAAGTAAAAAATATAATATTTTGATTTTTCGTTGCTGAACCGATTTAGACCGTATTCAAAGATATCATTTCACGATGGCTGGCGAATCCAATTTTAAACAAATTATTTTTCGAATAAGTCGCGAACGGCGAATACTCGTTACTGAAATCGTGCTCCAAAAGTTTGTTAAATTTAAAAAATATATTTCTTAAGGAATATGTAATGCTTAGAAGATTATTTTAAAATGAGCTCTCCAGCAAATGCTCCGAGCTTAAATAGGAAAACAACGCGAATTTTAAGTCAAGGCTACTATGATTTTCAATTAACAATCGAACTTCGGTGTAGGCAAAGAAACAGAAAGTGTGTGAGAGAGAGGGAGACAGGAACAAAGAGTAAAAGTATGAAATAATGACAGAAAGAATGAGACAGACAGAGCGAGAGACTATTGACATATAAAATGTAGACTATTTTATTACATGTAAAAAAAACTTCAAGTTCCTTGGGTTTGCCTGCGATCCCTGCCAGCTCCTGCTAGCTCCTGCTAGCCCCTGCCAGCCCCTGCCAGCCCCTGCAAGCCCCTGCCAGCCCCTTGCCAGACCCTGCTAGCCCCTGCCAGCCCCTGCCAGCCCCTGCCAGCTCCTGCTAGCCCCTGCTAGCCCCTGCTAGCGCCTGCAAGCCCCTGCTAGGCCCAGCAAGCCCCTTGCCAGCCCTCTGCTACAGCTGTAGCTCAGTTTACTGATACGTATTAGGAGTGGTTTATTTCATTCATCAGGCATTCACGTATATTTGTTACCTGTGCTAGATGCAGCCGCATTCTTCTAAGGGCTCAGCTTCTTCGGCAGCAGCTTAATCATAGTTCCATTTTTGACAGGTGCTGTCCTCACTGGCTCAAAGGGCCTAGTCCTAGCAATTAAGGGTTTCTTCAGCTTCGAATAGACTCGAACTGCATGTAAAATAAATTTCAATGAGATAAACCTTATATTTGCATATGAGTTTGGTTTGATTTCAATCGATTTCCACTTAATTTAAAAAGTTAGAGCCGGCTTAGGGAAGACAGAGAGAGGGAGAGTAACAGAGAGAGAGAGAGAGAGAGAGACAGAGGGCGAGAGTGAAAGAAACAGAGAGGCTAGGTTCTCATTGAGCTATGAGTTTAAACTGTTTCCAGTGGCGATTTTCCCTTCACTCCACACTAAGAACAACACTTTCCCGCATTTCCCCTGCTTTGATATAGCCTCAGCAGTGGCGTCTGCTCACTAATACTCCTAGCCTCCCCCTAGTTAGTCCAGCTCTCTTAACTAGCCACTTTTTGCCCATGAATAACTCATGTCACATAACTGAAACGAGGCTCTGCCCTTATGGCCAATAGCAACAAGTCAATTGACGGGAAATGCATATGCCTGGGGCATAGCTGGACTGGCTGCCGAATAATAATTGAAAATGCTGCAGCACCTGGCCGCAAGGGGCAAAGTGAAAAGTTGCGAAATAATATTAACTTAATACTTCATGGCTCGATCGACTTGGCAGTGCAAATTGGCTTGAAATATTTATGAAAATGCCGTGGCAAAAGGGTCAGCAGAAGAGCAGCAACAAAATATTAGAATAATCATAAATAAATGAAAGGGTTTGCTCTGGCCAAGCAGGCCAAGCAAATCAATTCCTAAATTATTTAAGATAGCCGATAAAACATCCGGCGGCATTCATTATTGATATGCAAAATCTGTGCGAGTGTCGTCCTTTTGATGCGGCTGCTTTCGTCTGTGGTTGCCTATCGGCTGCATCGCAAGGAATCGAATCAGCAGCCGATGCCGATGCCGATGCCGATGCCGATGGTGGCCACAGCAGAGCGCGAACGTTAAGCACAGTCAATTAGCGAGCTGATGGCCTCTTTAATCCAATAAGGACATGAAATGAAACCAATATCGATGGACAGTTGGCTGCGATGGGAGCGAGCAGGGCCTGGTTGGTGAAGCGGTCAATCGGCAGGGGCCGAGTCGAGCATATTGAAACGTTTTCACCAAAGGGCTGCCGCGACCGAGCATAATTGGGGAAAAAGACATCGCCATCCGTCCGTCCGTCCGTCCGTCCGTCCGTCTGTTCGTGTCGCGCGCTCTGACCGCTCCAGTCGTTCAATTAGTCGACACCGTCGATGTCACCATTGGCGTCGCCGTTTACGACCCGTTTCGACCCGCGCGCGCGCAGAGAAAAATAAATCTCAATAATTCAATTAATGCGTCACTTAATTAAAACTCAATTTTTGCCTTGTTTTTAATTGACATTGCTCCTCGTTTTCTCTTGCTCTCGCCCCCCCCCCCCCCCCCCCCCCCCCCCGCACTCGCCACACCTTGGCTTCCTCTGTCTCCGGATGATGCTGCTCCTGCTGCTGCTCCTGCTCCTGCTGCTGCTGCTGCTGCTGTCGTCGACTGGCTGCGCTGCCTCACTTTGATTGATTGTCATTGCCGGACGTTCGCCTGATTGGCATCATCACCACCCGCTGCTCTCTGCTCTCTGCTCACTGCTCACTGCATCCGCGTGACAGCAGCGTTGTGGCACAGATCACCACACAGCCGCAGCTGGTCGTTGCCGATCCGAATGGTAATCATGATTCTGGTTATGCAGCATCAAACGTTGACGATGTCCTTGCAGGAGTGAGCGTGGGCGCCGCCATCAGCAGCACTACGCCGCCGGACAGTCCGGTGCCCAGCGGCGCCACCCTCCACCGCTCCAGTGTCAGCAGCCGGCGCAACACCGCCGAGGACTCGCCCAAGCGCGGCGAGCCGCCGCTCAGGTATGTTCATAAATTAGCACAACTTCAGCTGAGCATTCGCAGCGAAGCATTTCAAATTCTCTTTCCCTGCGTTGTCCTTAAATCGTAATTAGACTTAAAGACAGAGAGAATTAACAAATAGATATGTGTATATGCATCATTGTAGAGCTAAGTACTTTCTCTTTTTCACTAGTATTCTCCTCAATCTGTAGTAGATTTTCCATAAAAGAGAATCCAATTTTAAGCTGAGCATTAGAGCTCTTAAGACTATCGATGGCATCATTGTCTGTCATTTTTGTCATTTTTGCGATAGATCCTTAACAGATTAGTGTTTTAATGTGGCGTTAAGATTAAAGTGTATGAAATATTTAAATATGCTTGTATTATATCAAGTCATTTACTTTAAAGCAACTATCTAAATATTTGATTGGAATTGTCGAATTTATTTATTTAGTTTGCTCTCGACATAAGCATCCCAGTCAGAGAACTAAAAAGCTATAACAGTATTTTTCAGAGCACATTAAATGCCCGATTAACTCAATCTCTACATCGCTTGTTTAAGTGAATTCCCTTAATAGTTAATTTTTTGTTTAAGGGAAAAAACTCCCCATTTTTGCTACAGGAAAATGAAATGCTCTCAAAGTATACACAGCCTTTAAACAGCAATCCAATTCAATCCTAGCCACATCTAGACATATGGGTAGGGAATTAGTTTAGAATTATCCCAATTATTCCCATGAACCTATTCTTCATCCCTTTATGTCATTTTAGTTGCGTATCGATTAAACTAAATATCGATAGCCTTATAGTTAGCTGTCGATAGTTCACTAATTACAATAATATTTCCCTTGATTTCTATTGGTCCATATATCGATAGCCTTGTGGTAAATTTGGGATAGTTAATTATAATGCTATTCCCTCTAATTCCTATTGGCCGATATGTCGATGAGATTCATAGATATAGTTCTCAATAGTCAATTATAATGCTCTCCCCTCTATTTGGCGATATATAGATCGCTTAATATATAATTTTCGATAGTCAAACATTATGCTTTCACCCCTATTAGTTAGTACTTATCGATAGTTATATGCTATACCACTTATTGACAAATTTATCGATTTCTTTATAGTTAGTTACCGATAGCTATAATGCTATACCACTTATTAGTCAACATATTGATGTCTTCGTAGTTAGCTATCGATAGCTATTATATGATGGTATATATACATATACAATATAATGGTATCCTCTCTAGTTCCTATTAGTCTGCTCTAGCTGTAAACTTATTTAATAGTTGTTTATATTTATATTGTATATATATTATATAAGTCAAGTGCCAAGTGCTGACCAAATGTTTTGTTGTTGTTTGCTGTTCTTGTGCCTTACAGCAGCAGCGTCGCCATGAAGCCATTGTCCTTTGTGCGCTACGGTGTGCAGGAGGCCATGACTTTGGCACGCAACGACTCCACGCTATCGACCACATCGAAAACGTCCTCGCGCAAGGATAAGAAAAACTCGCAGGCGTCAAGGTGAGTTGCCGCCGCCGCAATTGCCAAATTGCAGCTATTAGCTGCACTTGGGCTAATAGCTCGACACTTGCTAACCACCCACCTCTCTCTCTCTCCCTCTCTTTCTGTCTCTTTCTGGTCGTATCTCCATGTTCCGCATGCAACCTGAAATGCAATTTACTCTGGCATTATTATCGTGACCCTTGCGTGCCGTAGATTCACGATATACAAGGTGCACAAGGCCTCCAAAAAGAAACGTGAAAAATCGTCGGCCAAGAAGGAGCGCAAGGCCACCAAAACCCTGGCCATCGTTTTGGGTAAGTCCGATCAAAGCCAAGAGGCAAACATGGTTAAATTATAGTTGCTTAACTCATTCTGATTATAATTTACACTGATTGCTGAACACATTCGCCGCACTGTCTCGATTTCTATATTTCTTATTTCGTTTCTCTTTGTTCTCTTCTGCTCTCTGTCTCCCTCGTTAGGCGTCTTCCTCTTCTGCTGGCTGCCATTCTTCACGTGCAACATCATGGATGCGATGTGCGCCAAATTCAACGAAGACTGCAGGCCCGGTTTGACGGCCTTTATGCTAACCACTTGGCTGGGCTACATCAATAGCTTTGTCAATCCCGTTATTTATACGATCTTCAATCCGGAATTCCGCAAGGCATTCAAGAAGATCATGCATATGGGGTGATTACAATCAGCAGCAATAACACCGACACGGACAACCGGTAAACATCAACAATGTTTAGCTAAAGCTTTCCTGATCAATATGTAATCACTAGAATATCGATCAACGTCGATCGATAACTCAAAACTCGAACTGTGCCAAATGCAAACCCAAATGAAATTGAACTCAAAGCTCGAAACTCAATTAGACTCCTAAGATTGTTCATAGTCTCAACATTATATATATAAATATATACATATATACCAATATATATCTAAATAGCATAGTATATGACCCTGTATATAGCATCTAAAGTTTGATCAAATCTGTTGTATGTATTATATTCGATTGCATAGGCTAAGGACTCTGAGCTGTAGGCTAGGCACCAAATTTTTAACATTTAGCTAATGTCTAACATAAAGTTTTAGTTAATATTCCAGTAAATAGACCTATTTATCGATAAATACATATATATACTTAGTTATCGATACCGTAAAATATGGCAATTGTACCGTTACTTGATGTGAGATTCTTTTAGATCGTAAGAGTTGTGTCGCTGTCACGAAAGAAAACAAAAACTGAGTTTACGTATTTACTATATGTGGATGGATTTCCGTATATACATATAGTATATTTACTTTACATATCACGCATTCAGTTTCTGTGAATTTGTACTCAACTGTACAACTGTACTTTGTTCCCCCTCAAGCAAATCCAACGATCGCTGAGCATATCCTAAGCGCGAAAGATCCCTCTACCCGATCCCACCCCCCGCTCGTTTTTGATACTCGACTTCAATGCTAATCAATGCGCTAATCATAGTTAAGAGAAACTTAAAACTAATCAAGATGAGGCTAGAGGATAGGTCTACCTATTAGATATACGTGTAATATTAATGTTAGTCCAAAGCAGGGGCTCAAACTCAGCGCCCAACACGAAATCATCGAGTGACAGAGACAGACAGAGAGAGTGAGAGATAGATGCAAGCAGCTATCGATAGGCTCATTGATTACAATTTCTAACTGTAAACAAGAACTAATCAGACCACTTGATGTAGCAACAGTAAATGCAGAATATAAGAATAAGTCGAGAATAAATCGAGAGTAACTCTCTTTCCTCCATGTTAGATCTAATCAATGAGCTCTGCAATCGATAGATGGCTACGATATTTTGTCGATAGTTTTGAACGATGACTAATGCACGCACACACACACACACACACACGCACGCACGCACACACACAGACAGACAGACGCACACTGAAACAAATGAGCCCCACACAAATATATATGTATAGTATATATGTACGTATTTATATCTCTATATATATGTACATATATATATATATGTGTGTATATCAACAAAATTGTCGCTGAGTTTGATCGGACTGCTTGAGCCACACATTCCTTGGTTGTAAACAAACTATAAATAACATAGGCAAATAAATAACAGTTATTCAAGACGTCATTAGCAGAATGTAAGCGCATTTAAAACTAGGCTAAGCAGCAGCTAAATCAAGTTAACCCCCCTATCCCAGTACTTATAATAACCTCTAGCTAAATACGTACTTGGAAATGGGTACTCAAAAGGAAAAACCAAAACAAAAACAAAATGAATATGAATATACGAATAAGTTGCATCAGGGTATCTAAAGCGTAGGCGTACAAATTATTAGAGCTAAGCGAAAGCAGACGCATAACAATTCTATAAAAAAAGAAAAGATATATATACACACACACACACACATATATA